TACAAGAGGAAGGCAAGAAGGTTAGAACAGAGAGCATGAATGTGGAGAAGACAAGTCAGAGTTAGAGAACTGAAGATGCCACACTGATAACCCTGAAGGCAGAGGAAGGAGACACAAACCAAGGAACACAGGAAGCCTCTAAAGTTGAAAAAGGCAAGAGCACAGATTCTGCCCTAAAGCCTTCAGAGGAATGCAGCCCATTCTGATCTCTAAACTCTGAGATCATAAATGTGTTATTTTGAGGCACTTAGATTGTGGTAATTAATTACAGCAACAATAGAGCATTCCACTCAATGGCAGCAAACATACATTCTTTTCAAGTGCTCACTGATCATTTACTAAGGTAGTTCATATTCTGGGCAAAAGAATAACTCTCAATATATTCAAAATGATTCAAAGTATATTCTCTGTGGATATGTTCATTATCTTGGTTACATACGTGTAGATATGTCAAAACGTATTAGGTCATACACTTTAAATATGTACAATTTGTTGTCAAGGCATCCCTCAATAGAAAAATAAACTGCTACCAGAAGTACTTGAGCTGATAGTGGGAAGAACTGGGACCATATGACTAGGCTGTGAGACAGGACATAAGTAGGAGGAAACAGCCAGAAAGAAGGATCCTGATTAAAGAGGGGCTTGCGCTGATTATACCATATGGAACAACGGTTAACCTTTTTTTTTGTCCTAAGTTCACATACAGTTATTGTTTTTTTCTGAAACAGTAACATGTCACTTTCCTCCTCAAAAACAATTACTACCCTGGCCACTGTGGCTCATTTGGTTGGGGTGCTGACCGGTAAAACAAAAGATTGGGGGCTCGATTCCCAGTCAGGGCACATAACCAGGTTGTGGGTTCTGTCTCTGGTTGGGGCACATATGCAAGGCAACCAATCAATGCTTCTCTCACATCAATGTGTCTCTCTTTCCTCTCTCTCTAAAATAAATAAAAAGACATAGATACTTAGGTGAAGACTGGGAAAAAAATTAATGGTTCACAAATGGCCTATAGAATAAAGCCTTTAACTTCTCATCTAGACATTCAAGACCTTTCATTTCCCAACCTTTTTCAACCATTTGTTTACCATTTGCCAAAACAAATCACTCCTCCAAATTTTTTACTTTTGCTCATAATCTTTTTCCGTACCCAGAATCTACCCCAATCCTCTCCACCTTACTTATCCAAATATCCATCCTTTGAGAGGTACTGAAAATCCCACATCCTCCATGAAACTCTCCTAACCCCTTCAGACTACATTTTTTTCATTCTGTATTTTCCACAGCACTCATTTAAACATTTTTTTTTTTAATCCTCACCCGAGGACATTTTTCCATTTTTTGTTCAGATAGAGTGGGAGGGAGACAGAGAGAGAAACATCAACGTGAAAGGGACACATCAAGTGATTGCCACCCACATGACCCAACCAGGGCCAGGGACAAACTGCAACTGAGGTACATTCCCTTAGCGGGAACCAAACCCAGGTGTCTACAGACCACAGGCCAACACTCTAACCGCTGAGCCAAACCGGCCAGGGCTCATTTAACTTTTTAAATATTTACCTGCCACACTGAACTATACCAAGCTACTAAGCAAGGGGTAAGTAGTGAATGCATTTGTTAGGCTGGAGAGGCAGAACTAGGAACAACGTCACATGGGAGCCCAGAATGAAATTACAACATTGGTTTTTGGATAAACATACCCTACAGCAAAAGATATATGGTCCCGGATTTCTGGTCAAGAAGGCATGTAGGTAAACACTGTGCTTGCCTCCTCCCACATCAAAATTATAACTAAACTGCAGAACAACCATGATTCAGAACCACCTGAAATCGAGTTGAATGATGGTGCTTCAACATGGTCTGAAGCTGTCCACTGGGTGCAATCTCGAAGAAGCCTCAACGAGACTGGCAGGAGGGGCGGAGGCATGGATGGGCTTGTCCCATACCCACATGTGGAACATAAAAATTTTGCAGGTTACCTGTCTGGGAAAGTCCTCCCTGAGGAGCAAGGGATCCCCATCCCATATCAGGCACCCCAGCTCAGGGTTCCAGTACCAGGAAGAGAATCCCCATCACTTTTAGTTGTAAAATCAGCGGGAACTGAGGCTGAGGGAGGCTGAGGCTACTGGAGTCCCACGCAGCACTTCTTAAAGGGCCCGCACACACACTTACTTGGACCCACTCCCTCCAGTCTCCTGCATAGGGAGGCAGCTTGAAAGGCACCAGAGACATACCAACAAGAACTGAGTTGTTTGGCATTGGGGCGAGAGCTGGAGGGGCAGATGTGCTGGTGGAGGCCGTTGTTCCTTTGTGAGCCCTTCCCTGGGGCGGCAGACGGGCACCATATCTTGGACTCCAACAACCTGGCTCACACTGTTTGCCCCACCCTGGTGAATTCCTGAGGCCCTGCCCCACCCAACTTTCAGGCCCACCCAAGCTGTTTATAGTGGCTTTACTATAGGATCGGCCTATCTTGGATCCTGCTTCATATTTTCCTAAAATCTCTTAAACAAACAGCATCTGGTCTCAGCAAGCTCTATACCTCTAGCTAACTGGCCCCAGGCCTGGCACTAGAAGCAGCCAGCCTTGATTCACAGCATGGCTTTGCCTGGGCACTTCCAAGCCCAGCACAAGCAGCAGCCATCTGCAGATCGCTTTGTAGCTTATGCCTGGTGGCCCCAGATAGAATACAGGCAGTGGCTGACCTTGCCCCCGAGCTAGCACACCCAGTGGACAGCTTCAGACCACCTCAAAGCACCACCATCCAACCACCTCCACAAGTGACACACTCAATGAGTGGACTCGGTGGGTACCAGAGCCCTGCTGAAGTAAGTCTTGCTCTGTGTGGTGGGCCTGCACAGCAAATCCTCCATGGGAGTCAGAGGTCAGTGGTCATTGGGCACAGGCAGTCCTTGAAGCTGATCAGCCTGAGTAAATCCCTTCCATTGACGTGCCAACAGCAATCAAGACTCAATTACTAAAGAAGGGGGTATAGTCCACACTAGGGGTGCACCTCGTGGGCCCAGCTGGGGTGATCAGGGAGGCTGTGCCACTGGACTCTACAGGACACCTAATACAATAGGCCACCCTAGGAAGCCTAGGAGACATAGCAACTCTACCAAATACATAGAAACTAATACAGGGAAGCAGCCAAAATGAGGAGACAAAGAAACATGTCCCAAATGAAAGAACAGAACAACACTCTAGGAAAAGAACTAAACGACACAGAAATAAGCAATCTAACAGATGCAGAGTTCAAAACACTGATTATAAGGATGCTCAATGAATTTGGTGAGAATTTCAAAGAACTTAGTGAGAATGTCAAGGAACTTAGTGAGAGCCTCAAGAGCATAAAAAAGAACCAGTCAGAAGTTAAGGGTGCACTAACTAAAATAAAGAATAATTTAGAGGGAATCAATAATAGAATAGGTGAAGCTAAGAAACAAACCATCAATTTGGCATATAAGAAAGCAAAAAACACCCAATCAGAACAAAGAATCCAAAAAAAAATAAGGATAGTGTAGGAGCCGCTGGGACAACTTCAAGCGTACAAACATTCACATCATGGGGGTGCAGAAGAAAGAGAGCAAGAAATTGAAAATCTATTTGAAACAACAATGACAAAAATGTCCCTAACTTGGTGAAGGAAGCAGACATACAAGTCCAGGAAGCACAGAGAGTCCCAAACAAGATGAACCCAAAGAGGTGCACACCAAGATACATCATCATCAAAATGCAAAAGGTTCAAGACAAAGAGAAAATCTTAAAAGCAGCAAGAGAAAAGCAGTTAGTTACCTACAAGGGAGCTCCCATAAGACTGTCAACCAATTTCTCAAAAGAAACTTTGCAGGCCAGAAGGGAGTGATGAAAAGCAACAACCTACAACCAAGATGACTCTATTTTGCAAAGCTGTCATTTAAAATAGACGGACATATAAAGAGTTTCCCAGACAAGCCCTGGCTGGGTTGGCTCAGCGGTTAGAGCATCGGCCTGCAGTCCAGAGAGGCCTGGGTTCAGTGCTAAGGGCACGTACCTGGGTTGCAGTTTGTCCCCGGCCCTGGTTGGGTTGTGTGGGAGGCAGCCACTCGATGTGTCCCTTTCATGTCAATATTTCTCTCTCTCTTCCTCTCTCTCCCTCCCACTCTGAACAAAAAATAGAAAAATGTTCTTGGGAGAGGATAAAGAAAAAATGTCCTCAGGTGAGGATTAAAAAAAAAGTTTCCCAGACAAGAAAAAGCTAAGGGAGTTCATCACACCAAACCAGTATTATATGAAATGTTGAAGACTCTTCTTGAAGAAGATAAAAAATATGAACAACGAGCCCTGGCCGGTTTGGTTCAGCGGTTAGAGCGTCGGCCTGCGGTCCTGAGAGACCCGGGTTCGGTTCCCGCTGAGGGCGCGTACCTCGGTTGCAGTTGGTCCCCGGCCCTGGTCGGTTGTGCGGGTGGCAGCCACTTCATCGATGTTTCTCTCTCTCTCTGTTCCTCTCTCTCCCTCCCACTCTACCTGAACAAAAAATGGAAAAATGTCCTCGGGTGAGGATAAAAAAAAAAAAGAACAATGAAATGGCAATAAATACCTATCTTTCAACAACTGAATCTACAAACAAAATGAACAAGCAGAATAGAAACAAACTCACAGATACAGAGAACTTTTTGTTGGCTGCCTGATAGGTGGGGGGTTGGGGGAATGAATGAAAAAGGTGAAGGGATTAAGAAGTATAAATTGGTTGCTGGACTGAGGAACCTCAAAGGGAAGGAGGGAAAGAAGGCAGGAAGAGATAAACCAAAAAAACTCACATGTATATATGCATAACCAATGGACATAGACAATAGTGTGGGGAAGGCAGGAGTGGGGCAGGAATGAGGAATAGGGGATCAGTGGGGAAAAAAGTGGGGAACATCTGTAATACATTCAACAATAAATATAAGTTAAAAAAAAGAATATATGGTCCCACTCTAAGGGCTGAAATGGAATTTCAGGAAATCCCACCTTACCTGAAAACTGGCTGATGATAGTAGAGAATGTCCCCCTTGGAGAAGGGCAGATAATGGAGAGGATGGATCTAGGGGAGGAAGAAGAAACCGTAGTGAATCGATGGTTAACTCAACAAAGCTGCTCCCAGCAATCTGTAAAATCCACTGATTTTTCTATTTGGAAATAACAGGAGCCATGATTGTATAGTGGTTAGGACTCTGCTTTTGAAAATAACAGAAGCTGTTCCTTTTACTTTAAGTCATAGACTGCAAAAAATAATTAAGATAATTTCTGACTAGGACCCTGATACCTTCATTGCTAGATTGAGAAGGTAAATCATTGTTTTAAATTTCCAATTTTGTCTCTTGATACTTATAGTCATATGGATCATACAGCTCAATCTATGTTCCTATTAAGTGAGGCAAAATGTTTCTGCTCTCTCTTATGTTACATAAGAAATATGAATAATCAGACTACTTTCCAAAAGTTTTCACAGGCCTTTTGAAACTTTGCTACTAATGCAAATTAAATATCACAGTGATATATACTACTTATACTACCTACAGGGATGTCTAAAACAAAATGGACATGGTCAATAAAACTGCTGGCAAGAATATAGAGAAATTAAGTAGATTACAATTGAACAGTCATATATCAGCAAACTGGATAACCTAGAAGAAATGAATAAATTCCTAGAGACATACAACCTACTGAGACTGAATCATGAATAAACAGAAAATCTGAACAGACCAATAAGGATTAAGGAGACTGAATCAGTAATCAAATCCTCCAACAAAGACAAGCCCAGGAGCAGACGGTTTCTCTGGTGAACTCTACAAAACATTGCAAAAATTAATACCAATCCTCAAACTCTTCCAGAAAACGGGAGGAGGGAACACTTCCACACCCTTTACAAAGCCAGCATTACCATGATGCCAAGCCAGATTTGAACACTAAAAGGAAAGAAAATTACAGACCAATATCCCTGATGAACACATATGTAAAAATTCTCAACAAAATATCAGCTAGCTGAATTCAACAGCACATTACATGAATCTTACATCATGATCAAGTAGGAGTTATTCCTGGGATGCAAGAATGGTTCAAAATACCCAAACCAATAAATGTGATAGACTACATTAACAAAATGAAAGATCAAGCTCACATGACCATCTCGATGGATGCAGGAAAAACATTTGATAAAATTCAACATCCTTTCTTTATAACATTTCTCAACAAATAGGTGTAAAAGGACTGTACCTCAACATAACAAACCATATATGACAAGCCCAAAGCTAATATACTCAATGATGAATGGTCAAAATCTTTTCCTCTAAGATCAGAAACAAGAGGAGGGTGTCCACTCTCATCATCTATTCATCACAGTACTGAAATTCCTAGCCAGAGGTCAGAAAAATAAATAAAAGGCATCCAAATTAGAATGGAAGAAGTATAACTGTCTCTGTTTTCAGATGACATATATAGAAAATCCTAAGGACTCTACCAAAAAATAAACTTAGAATTAATCCACAAATTTGATAAAGTTTCAGAATAAAACTTTAGTGTATAGTGTTTCTATACACTAACACAGAAATATCTGCAAAATAAATAAAACAATCCCATGTAGAATACCATAAAAAAACAATAAAATGCTTAGGAACAAATTTAACCAAGGTGGTGAAAGATCTGTACACTAAAAACTATATGACAATGAGGAAGGAAAATGAAAATACAAATAAATTTTAAGATATCCTGTACTGCTCTGGCCAGTGTGGCTCAGCTGACTGAGTGTTGTCCCCTGTACTGAAAGGTTGTCAGTTGGATTCCGGGTCAGACTGGGGCACAGGCATGGGTTTCTGGTTATATCTCCAGTTGGGGGGAGTGTAGGAGGCAGCTGGTGGAAGTCTTACTCTCACTTTGATATTTTTCTCTCTCTCTCCCTTTCTTTCTCTAAAAATCAATTTTTTAAAAATCTTTAAAAAAAAGATATCCTATGCTCGTGGATCAGAACAATGTATATTGAAATGTCTATACTACTCAAAGCCAGCTATAGATACAATGTAATCCCTATCAAAATTCCAATAGCATTTTTCACAAAAAAAGAAAAAAAATCCTAAAATTCATATAGAATCATAAAAGCCCTCGAAATATCAAAGCAATCCTGAAAAAAAAAAAAAACCTGAAGGCATCACACTTCCTAATTGCAAACTATATTACAGAACTATCCTAATCAAAACAACATGGCACTTTTATAAATATGGTCCACTAACATTTGACAAGAGAGCCAAGAATACACAGTGGGAAAAAGATAGTCTCTTTGCCCGGCCAGTGTAGTTCAGTGGTTGAGCATCGACCCTTGCATCAAGAGGTCATCAGTTCGATTCCCAGTCAGGGCACATGCCCAGGTTGTGGGCCCAATCCCCGGTGGGGGGCATGCAGGAGGCAGCCAATCAATGTTCTCTTTCATTGATGTTTCCATCTCTCTCTATCCTTTCCTTTCTTTCTAAAATCAATTAAAAAATTAAGAAAAAAGAAAAGATAGTCTCTTCAATAAATAGTATTAGGAAGACTGGATGCAGAAGACTGAAACTGAACCACTATTTTATACCAGTCATGAAAGTTGACTTGAAATGAATTAAAAACTAAGACCTGAAACTCTTAAACTCCTAGCAAAAAAGTTCCTTGACCTTGGTCTTTGCAATGATTTTTTCTATATGACAAAAAGTACAAGCAACAAAAGCAAAAATCAACAAGTGCATCTACATCAAACTGAAAGCATCTGCACAGCAAAAGAAATCATCAACAAAATGAAAAGGGAAGCTATGGGAGAAAGTATTTGCAAATCATATATCTGATAAGAAGGTTAATATCCAAAATATATAAGGAATTCATACAACTCAATAGCATATATACAAATACTGTAAACTACTTTAAAAATGTGGCTCAGTGGTTGAGCATCAATCCATGTGCCAAGAGGTCGCTAGTTCAATTCCCAGTCAGGGCATGCAGGAGGCGGCCAATCGATGTTCTTTCTCATCGATGTTTCTCTCTCTCTCTCCCTCTTCCTCCCTCTCTCTAAAAATCAATAAAGAAAAAAAAACATTAAAAATGCACAGGGTACCTGAACAGACATTTTTCCAAAGAAGAAAAACAATGGCCAATAGGTACATGAAAAGGTATTTAACATCACTAATTACCAGGGAAATGAAAATTAAAGTCACAATAAATATGAACTCAGACCTGTTAGAATATTATCAAAAGGCAAGATATAAGTGTTGGTGAGGATGTGGAGAAAAGGGAACCATTGTATACTTTTGGTGTGAATGTAAATGGAAAATATATATCACATTTTCTTAATCATTCATCCATTGATGGGTACTTGGGTTGCTTCCATGTCTTGATTATTGTAAGTAATGCTGCAGTGAACTGAAGGTGCAGACATCTTTCTGAGATAAGTAATTTCATTCCCTTTGAATAAATATTCAGAAGTGGGATTGCTGGATCAGATGGTAGTTCTATTTTTAATTTCTTGAGGAACTTCCATATTATTTTCCACGGTGGGTATACCAATTTACATTCCCACCAACATTTATATACACACACATACACATAATGTGGAATATTTCACCCATAAAATAGAAGAAAATCCTGTCATTTGCCACACTGATAGACCTTGAAGGCATTATGTGTAATTAAATAAGACAGAAAGCCAAATACTGCAAGATCTCACATGTGGACTCTAAAATAGCTGAATACAGAAACAAAGAGTAGATAGTTGTTTCCAAGGTTGGTGGGGAGGGTATAGGGGAAATGGGGAGATGTTGGTCAAAGGGTACAAATTTCCAGTTATAAATTATTTCTGGAGATCTAATGTACAACATGGTGACTATACGTTGTATCAAGTTGCTAAGAGAGTAAATCTTAAATGTTCTCACCATACACATATACACAGACAAAAGGCAAATATGTGAAGTGACAGATGTGTTAATTAATCTTATTGTAATTATTTTTCGATATATAGGTGTATCAAATCATCCTGTTAGACTACTTTAACCTACACAATATTATGGGTCAATTACATCTCCATAAAGCTGGAAAAAAATTTTTCTCAACAATGTTTTGTAGTTTTCAGTGTGCAGATCTTGAGCATTTTTGTTAGATATGTTCCTGTTTCATATTCTGGATGCTATTGTATATGGAGTTATTTTTAGTACATTGTCCAGTTGTTCATTAGTAATATAATGAGACGGTTGATTTTTTAATGAAATATTTATGTTTTGAGATAACTCTAGATACACATACTGTTCTAAGAAATAAAACAGATCCTTTGTACCCTTTAGAAATAATTGAGACAAAAAGAATTGAGGCAAATATAAGGTATAACTCAACATTCATAAATAATGTTGACTTCTAATGATATTAATGAAATGCAAGAAAAAAGACTGTATAGTAATAGTTAGGTTAAACCAAATCTGACTGCATAGCCATACCTAAACAATGTAAAGACAGTGACAATGCAGAGGAATATCTAAAGGGACATGTCACAGAGCTCTTTCCTTATCCTGACCTGTTCTATGACATGTAGGAAGAAATAGAAGGAATACTCACTACATATGCTAGTTACATCAAGTTGGAAAAGACAGTTAAAATAATGAATAACTAAATTAAGATTTTTAAACTGTTTTGACAAGCTGCAGGCCAAAGTACTGAACAATCAAATGTAAAGTACTGACATTAAAGATAAAAAACAATTCTATTACACAAAGATGGCATGAATCTAGTTCACCGTTATTTATGTACAAAAAGATCTAGGGTCCCCCTGCCCAGTTTGTCCCAGGGACCAGAGAGTCTCCTCTTGATTCTGGTCAAGGTCAAGGGTATGTACCTCAGGTTGTGGTTCCTCCAGGTCCTGGTTGGGGTTGTGTGGGAGGCAACCAGTAGATCATATGATTCCCCCCCCCCCCCCAGTCTGTCTGAAGATAAATGGGAAAATATCCTGGGGTGAGGATTAAAAAAAGATCTAGGGTTTACATCATAATACTGCTAATTTTTTTTAAAGCAAATACAATCTGATACTAAACAGCAGACATATAATCCAAACTGAAAGAAGGAGTACATCATATTTTTTGGTATTTTTCAAAGTACATCCACTGAACTATGTTTAGTTTTTAAGAAGCATGCTGTCATGCAGTAGAGTTTTCAGAGAAGAGAACAATTTTGCTTTTGGGGACCTCAAGAACTAAGAGTAATGCAGAACAGGCATTTCTGTCTAATATGAGCAACTAAAAAAAAGAAAGAGTCACAAGGGAAAAGTCTGAATACAAAATGGAGAGTTTAATGGCCATACTTGTTAAGGCATTGGCTTAAGGATGGCCATCTCCCAGTGATATTTTAAAAACTGATTCTTGCCCTGGCCGGTTTGGCTAAGCAGTTAGAGCGTCAGCCTGCGGTCCAGAGAGACCCCGGTTCGGTTCCCGCTGGGCACGTACCTGGTTGCAGTTTGTCCCGGGCCCTGGTCGGGTGGCAGCCACTCGTGTTCCTTTCACATCGATGTTTCTCTCTCTCTCTCCCTCCCACTCTACCTGAACAAAAAATGGAAAAATGTCCTCGGGTGAGGATAAAAAAAAAAATAATAATATAAAAAAATAAAAACTGATTCTTGCATTGAATGGATGATTACCAAGATATTTTTCTGACTGCAAGATTATCATTCTGATATTTAATAAATCTCAGTAATGTGAGGATCACGGACATTCTGAATCATTGCTCCTTATCATTCCCCAATCCCAACAACAGGAAGAGTTAACTCTCCCTCCAAGTCTCTCTAATTCTGTCTCTCTTCGTCCTTCCACCTCTTCCAGTTGACAAGTACTTGATCTTCAAGTTATGACTGTTCTTTGTGCCTACATCACAGTGCTCTCCCCCCTCGTCGTCCCCACTACCTTCCATCTCAGGAGCTCATCCCGTTCTCTGGAACCTGGTGACCAGGGTTTCCCAAGCAGTGTCCCTCCAGCTGGGTCCTCCGTCTGGGGCTTAGACGCCCAGCAAGGGCTCTGAACTTCAACACACGCGGAGGATGGCCGGCCTAAAAGACACAGGATGGGTCAGCAGCATGCGTCACAATCAAACCTCAGAGTTTTGCGCAGTGGCCAAGAAAGAGGTCCTTGGAAAAGAGAAGTGCCGGGAGAGCACCAAGAGCTCTCCCGGCGGACCGAGAACAGAGGAGCTCGAGTACGCAGGTTCAGCCCAGGATTAAGAAAACCCCTGGTGCCTTCCCCCTAGAATCTGGCCAGAAGTGCCCACGGGTCTGCCCGTTACCTCCGTGCACGCTGGCAGACTCGGATCCGGGAACGCACACCTGTTGCGGGGGCGGAAAGCTGGAAGGTGGCCCAACGGGGCGGGCCCCAGTTCCCGTCCTTCCTCCCAGAGCGGAACAAAAGAACAAAGCCGTCCAAGGGGTCAGGGCGGAACTGGCGGCGCGGGGCGCCCCCTTCCAGGACTCCCCACCTCCCTCCCGCAGAGGCCGTTGCCAGTAGAGTGAGGAGGGTGACGTCACGCGACCGGAGGGCTGGCGGTTGCCATGGTGATACCTGGGCTTCCCTCCACTGCGACCCACCCGTTCCGATCGCGGGTCCGGAAGCGCCGGGATATCACCAAACTAGGGAAAGGAGCCAGAGCCGCTGGACTTGCCGAGCGCCAACCTCTCCTCCTGCCTATAGTGGCTGCAACGGCCACTTCCGGTCGCGAGGAGAGAGATCCGCCCCCCGCTCGCTGGAGTGTTAAAACGCGAGTGGATACGTAGGACTACGATTCCCAGAATACTCCACGCGCTGAACTCCATTTCCCACAGGCCTCCGCGACCGCATAAGACCATGTCGCTCGGGCCTGGTAGGTCTACCTGAGAGACCTTGGCTCCTGAATCTCTCAGGTGGGGGTGTGCGTTAGAGGTGTGTGACCAGACATCGTAAGAAATACACGTTTTCACACATAATTTTAAAAAGCAAGCGAACGTTTCACCATGCATTACGTACTTTTATGTCCTGTCCTGCACTCTATTCGGTATTCCATTGCTTTCACGACTCCCAAATGGGTCGCAACCCATATCTTTAAATATGCTGAAGGAATGGGGAGGTGGTGTCACCACGTTTTGTCCGACTGTAGTGCAGTGTGTGCCTGCGTCCACGGTACATAGCTGTGAATGAGCCCAACGCCAGTCTCTTGGTGTGTCCTTGGTAGAAAAGAATCAAACAGAAGTCGGTAAGTTTTTATACTTTTAAACACGTGGCCCACGCATTGTACTGTATTTGTCTGCGTCCACAGCTTTGGACGGCGGCTAAGATCAAGTCACTCATCTCATTGACAAAACTTAATTTGAAATCCTAATATTGAGTATATGGAAACAAAGTTGCGGTCAAAGGAAAGGGAACAAAATCTAGAAGTCTCTAGGAGCAGATCTCAGAAAAGATCTTGTAGGAACTAGAAAATTTAAAGAAACAATTTGGTATTCTCAGTGGGTTGCAAGAAAATATGGCCTAAATGAAACAAAAGAAAGCTACGAGAGAACACGTTGAAATAAAGACACTAAGTGAAAAGGGATAAAAACATAGCAAACATTTAAAATGCAGCAACATAATTTAAAAAAATTTTTAAATTCGTTTTTAGTGAGAGAGGAAGGGAGAGAGAGAAACATTGATGAGAGAGAACATTGACTAGCCGCCTTATGTATGCCCCCTACTGGGGACTTGGCCCACAACCCGGGCGTGTGCCCTGACTGGGAATGGAACGGAGACCTCTTGGGGCTGACTGGGCTGCAGCAACATAATCAAAGTTACACTGGAGAACTGAACTGATGCTGTGGCAAAGTAAATCCATTGTGTACAGGATATTCTTTTAAAGCTCCTCCATGATTTAAAAGAAAAAGATGGGTGATAGATATAAAGAACAGGAAGAAAAGCCAACGTGTGGAAAATTGGCCACCAGGAAGGAGAGACCACGTGAAATCAGCTATCATGTACCACTCTGTGTGTGCCAGGTAGTGTTTTAGTGCATTACGTCTATTTATGTAATTCCTGAAACAACCCAATGAAGTTATTTCTGTATTTCTGTGTCTACTTAACAACAAAGGAAACTGAGGCACAGATAAGTTGAATAACTTGCCGAAGGTCACATAGCCAGTAAATGGGGAAGCTAAGACTTCAATTTAGAAATGTGGCCCCCAACTCTAACTTCCAATCTCTAACACTAGACTCCCTAGTAAAGAGATAAGCAATTCTCTGGATTTAAGAAAGAATACATTAATCAACCAATGAATGCATAAATAAGTGGAACAACAAGTCAATGTTTTTCTTTTTAAAAAAAAATCAATAAAAAAGAAGAAAGAATACGTCTCATATTCCTTGCTGGTGAGTATGCAAAGTGATATGGTATTAGCAAAAGTATTAACAAACAGCCAGCTGATCAATAATTTTAGTTTCAATACATCACTAATTGCTTTCTATTTTTCAGGTTTTATTAAATACAAAGCTTTTTTTCTATTATTTTGGTATCTAACGTCAATCAAAGCTAACGTTCCAAATGACTTGGGGGATCATATATGCTTGATGAAAATGTGTGCACCAAAAAAAGAGAGAGACTGATATGTGTAAGTGATGGACAACAATAATGTAACCTAAAGGTTTGTGTTCATTTCACAAAGTCTACTTGTGTATGGGGTAGTGGTTATACTTGTTTGTGTTCTTTGTCATCTAGAATCTGAAACGGGCTACGTTGGGCTGTGTAGTCGTGGCCGAGTGGTTAAGGCGATGGACTAGAAATCCATTGGGGTTTCCCCGCGCAGGTTCGAATCCTGCCGACTACGGGGTTCTTTTGGCCAGCCTCCGTACAGATGCGGGTGTCCCCACCCCCAGAAACACTGGATGCTGACATTCTCAGCATGGCGTTTTCTTCCCCTACAGAAATGGCCCCGTTTCTCGGTTTATTGTCTTGGGTCCCTAAAGGATTCCATGGAATCAGTGGTTCAAGTAAGGAGTTCCTCTCCTTAGTACAGCGGCAGTTTCCCCTCCTTACCTCCCCCAGCTCGGTCCCCGTAGGAGACCGACTCGATATTCGACAGGGAGATGGAAGGACCTGTTTTGTATTCAGCCACCATATTACACTTGCAATCTCCTCCAAAACACCATCGCAGAAACAGAATAATGGTTGACGCACCAGGGCCCAGCATGTTGACACATAAAAGATAAAATAACAAAAGACAAATAATATAAAGTGTTATTAAGGGTGTAGAACAACTGGATTGTCACACATGGGAATATACATTTGTTCAATCACTTGCAAAAATCCTTTGGCTTGAACAAGTTTTATACTAAAACTTGAACAGATATTTACTGTGACTCTGCAATTCCATCCATGAATATGTCTACACAGCAGAAATCCCTATTTATGTTCACTGAAAAAAATACACACATATGTACGGCAGCACTATTTATCATAGTCCAAACTGGAAATAATCCAAATGCCTTTGTGTAGGAGGTGAACTTTAAGAAATGCTTAACATCTGGGCATGATTTTGATGAGTGGAGATGCCGGAAACATACCTGTCAGAACAAGAGCGAAATCCCGTGACCAAGGAAACTCAGAATAAGAGGGGCCAGGAGGGCCTAGGACACTGCATTTGGCACCCTGCTAGCTTCCCTTCTGCTCCACTCCTTCTCCTTTTTTGCTTTTCAGCATGTTCTTTGCTTCCACTGGGACCTTTTTTCCCCACTTTCTTCTTCATGGGAACCAAAGTTCTGAATCTCTGAATTTATACTTTGTTTTCCAAATCACAACAATAAAGCCCAGATAAATGTTCTTGGCCCCTGAATGTGCTGGAGAAGGTATGAAGAGAGGGCTGGGACCAGAGAACTTGGCCCTGGAGTCTTTAAGCTGTAAGATGGAGGCATTGAACATGAGCACTAGCAGGAAACTGCCACCGAAATTGTGAGCTTTTCTCTAACTGATCTGGTTTTCATTTTTTAAATCCCATGTCTTTACAATCTATGTTCTTTGGCTCTCAGTTCTAGCTGTCATTGGGTCAAAACAGATGAGTATGAAAAAGGAAACCAAGACTTGCAAATGTCATACTATGAAACACGACAGACAAAATGCACCAAACCATGATATGCAAGACAAACTACCTAAGTGCAACGTCTTTTTATACCCCTTTGTATATTTCACGGCAGTGCCAGCACCTGCACCCCAGGAGCGGGTGGAGTCTGGCTGTGTCGTGTAACAGAGGAAAACGGAATTGCTTTCTTAAATCAGGCTTAATACTAAGTGATGTTTACACCATAATAGAGCCACTGTTCCATTTGAGATTGATGTCAGTGTTTCAGACCCAACAGTCTGAAATTGGTTATTTGACCTAGGTAAACAGGTCACAATAAACAATATACGGTGAATAAAAGGTGAAGAATGGAGGATAAAAAAAAAGCGGTACCCACTGGGAGCTGAACCTGCATAGAAATCACGAAGGGGTTTTAAGGCTAGCACCTTAACCACTCAACTATGACCACCTATCCAGTCAGGTTCCTTTTTGACTATGTAGGTCTGGGAAGTGGTATGCTGCTCAATCTAGTTAGTCATGGAAACACCTTTTTTCTATAATGTGATATTGAAAGAGGTCTGGGTAATTATTGGGTCTGGTAACAGAATTTCCTATGTCCATTCAGGGCTTCTTACTCTTGGATGAAATGAAATCTACAGCAAATTAAAAAGCAGTCTAGGAAGCTGGAATTCAAAGAAGCATCCTGGGATGAGAGGTTCAAACTTTCTAGGCCCCAATCACTACTGACACCCATTTCCAGGTGTTGGTTGGAGCTGAGGGGACCCTAGCTTCAGACCTGCTAATGCTTTGAAACTGGAGACAGGATGACAAAACTTGAGGGCATCAGAAATGGTACAGTAATCTCATTTACTTTCAGAGCTAAACACTAAAATGAGAATGTCTCTGATGGCCTTAGACTGCTTTGCCCGTTCCCTGCTTTAAAAGAACTGGCTTAAACCAGGCCTGAGTGCGGGAGCAGGTGAGAGGGGGGAGGGTCCAAGAGTGGAAGAAAGTGATGCTGGAAGAACTCATCCCTCAGGAAAAGCTCTCCTCTTCGCCTTCCCCAGGGAGGGCAGTCTGAAACCAGTGAACAGAGAGAAGTGGCTTAGAGAACAGGTTTTCCAGCCTGAACACATTCTCCATCCCTCCTAACACAGAGACTAAATCCATGCTAATGGGGTTGCTTCTGGGCGTAGAGGCATGATTCAGTGAGGTGCTGCAGATTTGCTGGAGCCTGTGCGGCAATGACAGTGAGGGTGAAGTGAACCGTAGGGCGGGAAGGAGGGAGAAACACAGAGCAGAGATGGGCAGAAGGAGGAGATAATGAAGAAAATGGGAAACACCTTTAACATAGAAATGTTGGGATTGGGCAAGTGGATGGGAATCAGGAATATCAAGTATTGCTAGCCCTGTAGGCATGAGCAGAGTGGCGCAGCGGAAGCGTGCTGGGCCCATAACCCAGAGGTCGATGGATCGAAACCATCCTCTGCTATTCTTTTTTCCTCCCATGCCTGCAGAGCCATCCTGCTTCTTTCACTACAAAGCAGAAATCCTAGTCAAAGGGAAGGAGACAGCCCCACAACCTTCTTGTTCTCTTTCTTTTAAGACAGGGTGACCTCATTTTGGGGGCTCCCACTATGTCCAAAGCT